CAGTGCACTCTACCTGAAATTCAGGACCTGTTCTTTTCCTTCGGCTAAGTTGCCAAACTTCTCTTATCCATCAACTGATGGTAGATGGTAGATAAAGGACAATAGCTCGAGATTTCATAAATGAAATCTGTGATGTGTTTCAGATAATCAAACAAATTAGGAAGTGTGTTTCCCTTCTTCATTAGTAAGTCACACACAGCAATCAACTCGAGCCAACCAACCCCAGGAGCCATGGCAAATTGAAGAATACATTATAATTGGACTAACCCTTTACAAATTTAATCAGCTAAAACTAGTTCGCTAAACCCTGAAAACGAAATCAATATGCTGCTGCCATGGCCAACACAAAGCGAAACCAATTAATGTGTGAAGCTCGAGAAAAACTTGATGAAAAACTCATAAACCAATTGAGCGCCCTTTTTGGCCCAGACTACAAAAAGCAATCAAGAGAGGGGAAATGCAAAGAAATCGCAACGAGGGAAAGAGCCAGGAAAAACAGGATAATTATTCAAACACTTTCAAAGTCAATCATACACACACGAGGGCAGAAGTGAAAAGTGTTCCCCTAACGGAAAACGTGGAATTGAAAATGTTTTGGAAAAACTTTGTCGTTGCAACAGACGGAAATATATATATATACTATATACTATATATGCATATGCAGGGATGGTGGTTCATCGTGATGATGGTTGAAACTCGGTTCTATTCGGGATGTTGCACTCGCAGGGAAGCGAATCGAAACGAGAGTGGAAAAAACATATGCGGGACCTCACGACACAACCATATCCTGTAAACGTCTGGCTGTGTGCACATGTGTGCGTTTGCCAGACAAAATAACTGAAAAACGGGCGAAGGTTGTTCAACCAAACAAGCAACCAACCACCGCAGCAGCAGCAGCAGCAGCAGCAAAAGACCAAAAACAGGATAGGGAATTCGGAAGGGGGAATTCAGCATCAGGAGCAACATCGAAGCATCAAAATCAGCCGAGAGCAGCTGTTCAAAAAAGTGGATGGCATCGCATGAACCCCAGTCGGGATTGTGTGATTCTGGAATGAGTGGTATAGTAAATAAAACTATGCATGTGCACTGCTTTCCTTTTGGCCCTTCCAGCACACACACACACACACATCTTTTTCGGTGGTTGGACGCGGCCCAAAAGCAAAAGGTCGCATGGTATTCCATGCGGGAAACTGAACTCCCGACTGAGATTAGCACAGGATTTGCGACCAGATAAAAATCGGATGGGGTTTCTGCAGGGGGGAGTCCAGACTTTGCGAAAGGTCGAGGCCTCAGATACCCTTGAATATTCATTAGGCATTCGGCGTAGGGAAAACTTCTTGCAGAAAAGGATACTTTAATTTTACTATTTTTAGTTAAGCCTAGATGGGTAGATTTTACATGATAAGAAATCTATTTGCGCTCCCTTGCAAGGTAACACTGTACCTGTTGATATTTATATATTTTGGGACGTTTAATTAGCATTTTACTGCAGCATGTTCGCTCCCATTTCAACATTGCGTTCAATGTAGCCACAATGCACACATCATGTGTACCAATAAAACATAAAGGCCACTAAAGGCTCTAAACTGTTCCTGGCCAAATGAGCCTGTTACCAGGAGGCAGGGCGACAAGGGAACTCGGGTAACTGGCCAAAACAAAGGCGAAGGCAAAGGCCGTGCTGGTGATGCTGGTGGTGGTGGTGGTGGTGCAGAGCCTAAAAATAACAGGAACTGGCTAAGCCGAGCCGAATCAGTTGTTGGTGAGTTAGTGACTGAGTGAGCCTAGACCAAAGACACCTTGCCAAAGAGGCTGGCTGACCGGGCCAAGACACTGGGATGCCACTGGCTGATGTCCAGGTCCGAATGGAGGCGACTGGAGTCGACTGGAGTCGGCTGGAGTTGAATCGCCGCAGCGAGTGTAGAAGTCCACCACCGGCCACAATTCGTGCAGGAAGCGGGTTTCGTCGCGGCGATGCAGGCAGGCAAAAGGTTTACACTGTCTTTTCCTACCTTCCGTCGGACTGTCCAGTTGTCCGCCGTCCAATGGCTCGTCGTCTGCCTGCTCGCCTCCCAAAACCAGTTGCAGGTAGTTTAAAGTAAAGCCCAAAGATCTTCGCTCATTCGCTCGTCTTTTGGGATACCATACCTTATAGCATATTTCTTATGCGACTGCTGCGCAACCTGAGTCGCCCGCCATCCGTACACACATACCTACGTTTCAGATACAAATATATAACTACATATATATATAACTCAGACGTTTCTTGACTCTTTCGAGTCGGTTGCATTGGGGAAATTTCGTAGAACTATGCCTAGGATTAATTGGTTAAATGTTTGTTGTTCTTCTTACTTTTGCCTCGGATTTCTGTCTTTTCTACAGTGCCACTTCTGGGAAACAAATTATAAATTGAGTAATCTAGCACTAAGCATCGAATTCGTTTTATTTCAGCCATTTGGGCCTTTCGTACCGGGGGGCGTGGCAGTTCAATTAAGGGGTTTTAATTGTGGGCCTCAACATTTGGACGGAATTTTATTGAATATTTATGCAAATTAGCAACTTACTCCCACCAAAGCAAGCGCCTTTATTGATTTAAAACAGCAACTAGAAATAAAACGTTTTCACCTCCAAATTCACGCTGTACCTGACTAATCGCAAAGTTCTTCAGGAGACTTGCCTAAAACTTTTATAAGCGGATTTTATTAAAGTATCTATTCTAACTTGGCCACGTTGCCGAAGTTCACTTAAAACAAGCACTACGTACTTAACGACTTGGCCCCACTCCATTGCGGAGCACTTCCTTCCGCACCTGAAAGTCCACGGTTCACCTGCGTTTGGACTTGCCCCTCTGAAAACAGGCAGCACCTTTGGCCAAGAAGCCGTAAACAAAAAATACGAAAAACCCATTTCCTAGCCTAGGCTGACCGGCTGCATCTAACAAGTTCGACATTTGCCACTTGAATTTAACGCTTGATTGCATTCCCGCCCAGGTTCTAGTCGCACTCCATTCACTTCCCTTGGTGCAGGACAGGATCGGCAGATATATGCAAGTTGGACTTCCATAACTTCAATGTTTTGGGACAGCCGAAATATGTGCTCATAACTTCAGCATTTTACACAATATAGTCAAGTTGTTTACGCACAAAAACGTTGCAAGATTGAATCTTGGATTGAGTCAACGGGAATTTCGAATCCAAACTATGACCCATATATCCAGATTTGGAGCACTTTTTCATAAGCCAGCTAAAAAGGAGATTAGTTCAACTAGTTATCAGTGAGATATGGAAGCAATACAAAGCTCTCGCGTTAGAACTCGCGGCATTGGCGTGTAACTTTGTGTAACTTTTAAAGTAAATGAATATTTGCGAGTTGCCAACTGGTAGACCCGCCACCACCAAAGCCCGCAATTTAGAGCCAATGCAAACGTCAACGACTTCATTCTGCGGGCTCCACTTGCAGTTGGCCAAGGGGAATCGGGGATTGGGGGCTGGGGTTTGGGGGCTGCCTCAAAGGGAAGGTACTTGAGCTTGAGCCTCTTCTTGGGGCTCCGCTAGCCTCCCATAGTTCGTCCGCCCTTCCACACGCTTTGTGTGTGCTTCACTGGGCTCCTCCACTTGTGGCTCGTCTTCGGACTTCCACTTCCTTGTGCCTAAGCCATCGGTGCCCCCCTGTGTGCCAGTTTTTAACTGGCTTCCCTGCGGACGACCGACCACTCCCCCACCGCCGGCATTGCTCAAAAGACCCGCCCGATAAAACTGGGCTCACTTTGCGTTTTGATTATAGCCGGAAATGCCGTTTTACACGTGAATGAAATTTGTAAATGCAGCGTTGCCAAACTTCTGGCTACACCACGAATAAATTGATAGGAAGTCGAGTTAAATAATAAATAGTTGGGATTTATCGCCGGGCTCTGGTGGCTCAACCCAAAATAAGCATGAGCAACATTTTAAAGCTCTCTTCTATTCATATATGGCTGCAATACATAAAAGATCCAGTACTAGCAGGGAAAACCCTCTCTTTTTGTATTTTGAAATCATTTACTTGATAGATTTGCAGCTTTTCGGTTACATTGACAACAAAAAGTTGCTAATCCGTATTAGATATCTTACCATGTAGATATGTCCCCAGTAAACAAACAAATATTCAATGCTCACCCCATTTAGGCAACCATTAATGTAAAATTTTGCACAGAAATGTAAATCAAAAGAGTCGAGGGGATAGAAAAAGCGCAGAGAGGCAAATAGAAAAGGCCAAATTGAGGGGGGAGGCCAAAACAAGGAGAGCCAGCCAGCCAGCCAGCCAGCCAGCCAGCACGCTTAGGGTAAGAAATATATTATAGGAAAAATCCACCCTCGGGGGCCACAGCAACGTTGAAAAGTGCACAAAGGCACAAAACCATGAAGGACAGCTAGCTGAGACCGGGTACCGCAGTTCTGAATCGAAATGAGTACGAGGATGTTGACGTTGCCCTGCTGCACAAAACATCAACATCAACAGCAGCAACACAATCAAAAGGGTTACAGAATCAAAGGCCTAAGCAGAAGGTTGCTGAACCCACGGCAAAAAACAGCGCACAGCAAAGCAACGATGCTGCAGATACCCTTTCTTCGCAAACCACACCGCTCCTAACACGACTTTGCCAGTCAAGTCAAGGAAAAGTACATGGCAAGCCACTTTGTTTTCAAAATAGTTCATTAGCCATATGTGTTATCAATAAAAACATTTACCAATTGCCTGTAGATGAGTTATCAACCATATCTATATGAAGTTCATACCACCTTTTCCACATGCTACAATAGATAGGATATTGTATTCCCAATTGTAAATCCCAAGTGTGTTTGCCAATTTCGACGGGATGTCTTTGGACAAGCAGCAAAACAACCCGAAAATAACCATGCTTGCTACCAAAAACAACATTTGATTGTGCCAATGCCATGGCAACACCCACCGCACACAATCTGGATTATTACGATTATTACTGATATATAGAAGCATCCACTTACCAGACAACTCCGAATGCTCCATAGCCGATGGGACGATCCGGCTGGACATCCTGGGGAACGGCCGGCGGCTGATAGTAGGGAGCCGCTGCGGCCAAGATTGCGCTGGCGCCCTGTGGCGCACCACCGGCAGCACCACCCTGTACCAGTGACATCGAAACGCTCATTGATGGACTACGCGGCAAGTTTTCCAAATAACTCGAGCAGCTGCACCCGCTTCTGGTATTTGTTGCCGATGGAGCACAGTGGTTGTGGTTCTGCTCCGCTGTGGCTGTGGATGTGGATGTGGCTGGTGGCGATGGTGGTGGTGGTGGTGGTGGTTTGGACGGGGTATTGGTTTGTGGTTCGGGTTCTGGTTCCCAAAGCGGTGACGTCGGTGGTGGCTGAGGTGGCTAAGGTGGCGGTGGTGCTTGCAGTGGTGCTTGATTTGATGTGGGAGAAATGGTGTTGATTGCTCAATGGATGCCGCTGGGGCCAACTGATGGCCGCCATTCAATTGTTGGCCATTTGTTGCTGTTTGGCTTGGCGTGCTCCTCTATTCAGCGCTATTTGTTTCGCTGCGTGTGGCTTTTTACACTTCTTACTTATTTAAATTAGATTTGAGGACATTGTGAAGAACTGCAGGGTGGAGAGGAGAAAGAAACATCATTATTTCCATGCTGCTTTGGTGGAATGTAAAATTCTAAATCATTTAAACGTTGCTGGGGGAATTACAATCCTCATTTACAGTCTCATTGCGGAACAAGTTATCAAGAATTGCTTCCTATTTGACCATTAGTCACATACTAATGTTTAGATGAAAATTTCTTCAAATGCTCAAATTTATAAAATCAGATTTATTATTTAACAACTATTTTGTGAGTAAAACCGCTTTTGTGTGTTTCGAATACTCATCAATTCCACGTTTTTTGAAATCCACTCTTTCGATTGTTCACTGTACTTTAATTGCCATTCCTTTTGTTTGCTTTTCAAATTTTTGGTGGCAAATGAAGCTGCACACGAATCAAAAAAAAAAAGAAAAGGAGAGAGACTGTGAGAGAGAGCGCGAGAGGACATGAAAAGTGCCGTTAGCTGTCGCGACCGGGGCGCGTCCGTGTATTACAGTTGTAAGTGTGTGCGCATGTGAGTGCGATTCTGAGTGATTTTTGGACTGCGCTGCCTGCGCAAAAAGCCGCTCAAAAGACACAAAAATCACTTCAAATCAGACTTTTCATGCTAATTTACAAATTTTGAAAACCAAACAATGACGAGCACCCCCAAGTCGCCAGCAAGCAACAAACGAACGAATGCATAAAACGCTCGCATGAAAATCGAAAAGCAACGGGACAAAAGAAATTTGCCCGGGGATAAGTATTATTTCCCAGGGTTTCGCTTAGCTTTTCCGGACTAATTAAACCTAAGCTATGCAAACATGACATTTCACATTGAATTACCTTAAAAAATGCACAAATTATTGAGCAGCGGCGGTGGCAGTTTTTCGTTTATAATTTCTTTTTTACTTTTTTTGTTTAACTCTTCCGCCTTCGTGGGAGCGAGAAGGAAGAACAACGCGCCGGGGGTAATATTCGTGCGTGTGTGTGAGAGTGAGAGAGAGCGAGCGAGCAAGCGAACGAGAGGGAAACAATTTTGTAATTTTGTTTAATTATTATTATAAAAAACGAGAGATTAATTTGTTGTTGTTTGGCGTGTTACTACTACTAACGCGACGGCTGCTCACACACACGCGCATATACAATCTCACGCACGTTTATACTATGTACATGTATATGCAGAGCCAGACAAACAAACAAAATTTTTTTGCCTGGGTCACGTTTCTTGGCTCTCTCGCAGCTTTTTCTTATGCTTGCCCTTTATTGCATTATCTTTGTTATCACACGGCCGCGTAGCGTGGCTAAGAGGTCGGGGGGCGGTCGTCGATTGGCCTTTGATTACCTCGCAGCTTCCCTACGACAGTGCTTAACTTGGATTTTCGATCACACGCGGCGACGTTTATTCCGGCGATAATTCCGATTTCATGCGCTCGACGTTCCGCTGCGTTCGAAAGTTGAGAGAGACTTGAAACATATGTTCGGCGTTGCTAGAGCTGGACGGAAGCCGATAGAAACATCGATAGTTCGATTGTTCAATCGATGTTTTTAGTGTGCCTGCACAATATTCATCTCCATCCCTCTGGTATTTCTGGTATATTAATATACTTATCGATTACACAACCTTAGAAAACAGGATGGCAACGCTGGATTCCCGCGAAGTTACGTTACTTATAAATAGCGGCGTTGCATATGAAAAATTCCAGATACAAACAGTTTTAAATTAATAAAGGCAATAATATTTTTTCAGTTTTTCTTACAAATTCCAAATTACGAGTGTGCATCAACATTTTTTTTCAAATATATCGCCATTTCTCCCATCGATAGAGACTCGCTCTTATCGATACATCGTCGGCTGTTCGCCAAATAAACAAAGCCAAATAACAAGGAAATGGAGCACGCGACGAGTGATTTAAAGGAATTCATCACAGACCTGGTGATTCCGCACCAGCGCTGCAATGTGAACATTAACCCGGACCACATCACCATGCTGGAGGGCACCAAGATCAAGAAGCAGCACTCTCGAAAACGCCGCGCTCACAAATCCAGTACACTTAGTCGCCGGGAATATGCGGCACTGGGCTTGAATACGCTTCCGACCAAGCAGATGAAATACGAAGAGGCGCTCCCACTACACCACCTCTGGCAGGGCTATGTGCGCGAGCATCTGGAGCTAAGGAAAGGTGACCAGGTGCTCCAGGTGCACGATGGACGCTACGACGAGTTCAGCCGGAAGTTGGTGAAACTAGACTTGCACGGTGCCAAGCTGAAGGTGCTGCAGTCCAAGTGCTCCACCCTGGAGGGTTTAACTGGTATCTGTGTCATGGACACCAAGAATGTGCTGAAACTACTCGGCAAGGACCATCGGCTGCGCACGATCCCCAAGAGCGAGTGCGTCTTTGGCCTGAAAGTGGGCAACATGGAATTCACCATATTCGGGCACCACCTTAAAATTCGACCCGCCGAGCGAAGTGTCAAAAAGATCAAGAGCTTTGTGCAGCCCTTCATGTAGGCACTTCAGTACCAATCATTAGCTGTAGAAATTGAATCCTATTGTAATTTAAGAAAAATACAAGAAGCGCTACCTTTTGAAAAGGAAATCTTTGGGTTAAATTAGCATAGATTATAAATGTATGGCTCCCATATGAAATTACTTTATTGGGAAGTTTTAGAATCGTATTTTCATAGTAATTAGAGAATAGCCCTCAAAGATCATCTACAACTTTACGTTTTTTAGTTTTTTGCGTTTAATATATATAAAAAATCGTACATTAAATGTTTACCTTTTTTTGGGAGGGGAATATCGCGCCGCGTTTCTTTTATATTTAAGTTCTAAACATTCTGCATAGTTTGTAGGAGATTTCCAGATTTCCTATTCCCAGTTTGAAGGGCAGATTTATGCGGGCGTCTTGGTCATGGTGATGACGGCGGATGGAACCAAGCCCAGCACTTCCAGCGGCTTCTCGTAATCGTCCTCGGCGAACAGTTTGCGCGGAAAGGTGGTCATCAGGGAGAAGGGCGACTCGATGCCAGTCTTCATCTGGATGAAAACACGCACGGCGGACAGCTGCTCCTTGACGTTGAAAGTTTCCTGGAGCGTTGAGCCGTCCTGCAGGCGCACCTGGATGCGGGTTTCGGTGTAGTCTCGCGGCGGAGATTTCACACCAGCCGGTGGCGATGAGACTGTGGTGGAGCTCACGGATGGAGCTGGCTCTGTGTTACCCAATTCCTTTTGTTCTCTGCGGTGCATAAGTTATAATGAAATATTAATTGTATAGATTGGGGCTATTCCTCACCTAGCCTTCCGTGCTGCCTTGTCCGCCTCGATTTGAGCCCTCACCCGATCGCGGGCCGCCTTCTCCTCATCCTTTTCGCGCTTGCGCTGCTCAACGATCTTCTTCATCTCCAGCTCCTCCATGCGTCGCTTGGCCTCGGTCATGTCCTTGCCGGACTTGATGCGATTCTTCTCCCGCTGCAGTGCTTCGGTTTTTTCGCGCTCCTCGCGTTCGATGCGCTTCTGCTTGAGCTTCTCCTCGATGAGGGCCAGCTGGGCCTTCTTCTCCTCTTCGGTGAGAGCCTTCTTTTCCTCCTCCGATTCGGAGAATTGGCTGTGACCGGTTTTGGCGGCATGGTACTCCACTTCGGTGTGATCTCTAAGAACTTTGCCACATTCGTCGCATTTCAGCGACTTGGCTACCGGAGCAGAAGTTTCACCGGCGCCACTGGTGCTACTGGACGCTGCTCCGGCCGAGGAATCCACAGCCGCAGCTGGCTGGGCTCCAGGACCAGGGGATTCCCCGGCACTTGGACGGGATGGTATGGGATCATCCACGTGGGCCAGTAGCCACTCCATTGCCGGTTCTACTCCCTTGTTACTGGTCACCTCCAGTGCATACTCCCTGTGAAATACATTTCAGGATTAAATCAAATTTGATTTTTGCAGTGTGACTTATTTTGCCGGTGACAAGTTGGCCATGGTCATAGATACTTACACACGTTCCCGAGGGAAACCCATATCCATCAGGGTCTGTACTTCACTCATATCGTTGGCTTGATGATTTCTAAAAATGAATAGTTTAGTTTTCGTATATTTATGAATACGAAAAATTTACAATGACACACAAAAACAATGCTACGCGATAGGAAACTATCGATAGTTCGACCCTTGGTATAAATCGTCACTACGCAATAGTTGCAGTTATAGTACAAAAAATCCGAAGTAATAAATAAATATAAAATAATAAATATAAAAAAAACGGTCAACCAATTTTTCCATGATTCTATTTTTATTTGGTTGCCAAGCTATATTTATATATTACACATGTTTTAAAATATCCCTTCAATATGACTTCAAACCTTCCATCGTTTTCGAGTAGTGTAGTGCCCATCATCGATAGTTCGAGGTTGCCTGCGACGTTTCATAACACTGCCAATTTGGCGTCTACGACAATTACTGCATTTCTCTTTTTGCTACATTGAAAAGGAATTTTGAACGATTTTGTACTCAAAGCCATGTCGCCGAAGACTAAAAAAATGGTCGTCAAGATCCCGCGTCACCCCTACTTCAATGTGCAGGTCGAACGAAGCGTGGAGCGCGAGGTGGAGTACCAGGTTCGCAAGTGTCGTGTGAATTTGGAGCGCATCAAGTCGTCCAATACTCCGAGTTCCCGTCCATTTCCGCTTAAACCAAAGCCCAAGATATGCATTGTACGTGTGGCCCGACTTCCGGACGTAGAGCGCAGCGAGATTTCCGTGACTCCGGCTAGTTCCATCATGAATTCCGACATTGACGAGGGTAAGTGCGATGGCCTGGCCAGGTCTGGAAGTAACCTATGCCTTAGGCTACCTTGAAGTCTTCTGTTAACCTTAATTATCCTTGCAGGTAGTTCCAGCGAACAGGAATCTAATCTGGCGATCTAGTCATCACATATTCTAAGATCAAACAACGCAATCCAGCTGACAAACTTCTAATCACACTGGGAGTCATTCGAAGTACACAGAGTATATGTCCAATATACACCAAAAAGATGTGCGGCTACCCATTCCCTGAATATATGTATAAGATCCTCATCTAAGACTATGCAAATGAAATTAGATTCATTAATACAAACACGTGCACACAACATGAATTTTCTTTTGTTTCATTTAGTTATACCTTATCTATCGAACTAAAATAATTAAAAGTTTATTTTATATACCAAAAAGAATGAGATTAATAATATATTGTAATATTTCATCCAGACACAATCTATGTGCCTGCGATATTTTATAACAACAAGTGTTTCATTGTATGCCCCTAAACCTAAACCCTCATTAGTTTTATTTCATTCAAGCGATTTTTTGGTTTCGCTAGTTTGATGGTCTATAAAATTCACAATAAGAATTCAAAAACTTAATTTAAAAATGGCGGCAATAGGATTTTATCGAGTTATGTTATCGACCTTTTGATATCAGGTTGTAATTTAAAACATTGTTTAAAAAAATATATACAAAAGTCCATTACTACCAGATAAATAAAAGAAAATGTTTCTTTTTCACATTTAAAAAAAAATATCTTAAGACTACTGATCGATAAATGGATATATCGATACCCGGGAGTCAGCTGTCAGCAGAAAAATATTTCTGGAATAACAAAAACAGGCAAAATTACCCGTATCCGAACCGAGTCGTAATTCCAATTCAAAACATGAACTGGCACACGGGCAACATTGCGGAGGCCGTGGCGGAATCCAAAGCCAAGGACGCCGTTTTCGTGGTCTTCATCGAGGGTAATTAGTAACTCCATTGCCAATTTTCACCACGTCATCCTTGCGAAATTTCACCTGATTTTCAGGCCAGGACGAAATGTCCCACAAATTGGAGCGGTTCGTGGATGATACTCGGGTGCGCTCCCGGCTGGAAACCTCCGACTTTGTCTCCATCAAAGTCCAGGGAAATAGCTCCGCCTACGGGCAGTTCATGTCGTTATGTGCGTACCATTCTGGCTAGCTAATTGAGACTCAAAATCTCATGATTCCTATTTGATTTTCAGACAAAGTCGTGCCTATTCCCTCGCTGTTCTTTATTGGCAAAACGGGCACACCTCTGGAAATAGCCACTGGGATTACGGCCAGCGTGGAGGAGCTCACGGAAAAGATCGACAAGGTTCTGATCCTGGCCGGTAAACGAACCCAACCGGTGGTAGCCACCAGTGCCTCTACATCTGCGGAGGCACTAAAGCCCAATACAGTCAGAAACCTCGCCGGAGCAGATAACTCAAGCAGCTTAAGCACTGGGGAGTCCCAATCAGTTCAAACAGGTAGTCTAAAGTTCACTTTAGCAATCGAAAACGAAACAAACAAGATACTCACATTGCAATTCTCCATATTTCAGCACCAGAAAAGATTGAAGAACCTTCAAACTCGGATACTGATGGTATGGTGGAAACCAAGACGAATCCTCCAAATTCTCCTGTAGCAGCCAGCTTGGCTTCTATTCCTGCAGCAGTATCCACCTCCAGTTTAGAAGTAAAATCCGGATCAGATTCGGGGGCTGCTACTCCCGCGGCTTTGGCGGATCAGAAGAGAGCAGCAGCCAGCAAAGTTGAGGCTTCAGCTACCACATCTGGTGCAGCTGCTCGGAACTTTGCCACCAATAATCTCATACCGTCTGTGCCGTTAATAACACCTGCTGTCCCAGTTGCAACACAGCGACCGCTTGAAGTCCAGGAAAACACCGAGTCCGAGGAAAGGTTGGCCGAAGTCAGGAACATTCTGGAGCAGAAGCGCAGGGAGCGTGTGGAGGAGGAAAAACGTATGGAGAAGGAAAACGAGCTGAGGCGTCGCCGGGACGGAAAGGAGGCACAGAGCCAGCAGGCAAGAACCAAGGAGCAGGAGCTCAAGAACATGCAGGTAAATAACTCCAAGTAAATATATAAAAGAAATTGATGATTTTACATGTTTTTATTAATCCCTTAGGAGCAGATAAAACGTGAGCGTCAGGAGGAGCTGGCGGCAAGGGAGCGCATACGTGCCCAGATAGCCGCCGATCGGGCAGAGCAGGTACAACGATTTAATTCACCGGACATCAACAGCACGACCAATTCGGTGGCGGCCACCGCTGCCTCCAATGTGATCACAACAGATGCCTCGGTGAGTTCGGTGGACGAGGCGAGGCTGCAGATCCGACTACCCGGTGGCATTCAGCGCACCAAATCCTTTCCTGCCGCTGAGGTGCTGGCCACCGTTCGTGTCTACGTGCGAAACGAGTTGTTGGCGGCGAGCGATATGCGTGATTTTACCCTGGCTACCAGTTACCCTCGAAGGGAGTTCCAAACGGAAGACGAGATCAAGACCTTGAGCGAGCTAAACCTAGTGCCCAATGCAGTGGTTCTGGTGCTTACCAAGGAGCAAGTGAATCGTGTGGTGCAAAGCGGTGGCTCTCTAATGACCATGCTGGCCACCGTCATTTGGGCTATGCTCACACCGGCGGCCAAGGCTTTCGACTACATTCACAAGATGGGCCTCCGACCGCTCACCCAGAAACTGAGCGTGCTTATGGCCAATATACGGTGGCCAGGACAACAGGCCAACCTGGATGTTTACCAGGGCGATGCGTGAGTACTGCTTCTTGGTTTATTTTTCATATTTTGATAACAATTCCTTTCTCGTTTAGTGCTGCCCGTCGCAACATGGAAATGTTCTCCCTGCGACCTACACCAGCTCCAGGCTACGAATACGATGAGGCTTCAACATCCCAGACGGACGGATCGGCGGAGAGGCCCACTCCACAAAATCAACCGGGTCCGGGAAGTACTCCTCCGGCTCATAATACCAGCCAAGCTTCCTCCTCTCAGTCCCAGGAATTCCAACAGCGACCCGGTGGCTATAAGCCGCCAAAATATGGGGACGCGAACATTCGGCGACTGCAGGATACGAAGAAGGATGAAAAGGATAAGGACAAGGCCACATACAATGGAAACTCCACGCAGCAGCAATAGAATATCACTACTCCTTTACAGTAATCTGTTTGACAACAGTCTTTAGCTATCCATCTATTCAATAACCTGTTATGCTAAATTTAATTATATCAACTCAATATTCCAAAATATCAATACGATGTGTTTTAATTAAACAAATGTGATCTTAGTACCTAGTAAGAGATACAGATTGGACAGCTTGGTCAGTTTTACGCTCAATTAAACTCAAATTCAATAGAACAATTAGGTAATCGTCAAAAACAAAGTTTAGACCAGTTAATAGTCATAAATATAATATCTATGAATTTGAAATGAACTTTGATAAATCAAATATAAACATAATGAGTGTCTTTTAATGGAAGTATATGCTTTTAACCTTTAGATAGAAACAACACAAAGTTTAGGTCAACAAAAGGGAGTCTATAAACTAATAAGTGTGAAATCAAATACAGCTTGATTAATTGTAAGATGTTTTGTACAATTTAAATATTCCTATTGAATTACGGGTGGATAACCAAACAATAGATTGTATAAATTGGTAGATCCTTTTAAGTATATAATATAAAATATGACATCTTTTGTTTATAATTTACTAGATTTGCAAGTATTTAAAAATTAGTGTTTTTTCTTCGTTTATGATTGCTAAGATCCGAATCTCCAGCTCACCAAATCAGTGGAAGTATGAAATAATGTTGGAGTTAACGATGAGTCTCCTAAGGCGCTCCTCAAAATACTTCCAAGCTTGGGTTACACAAAGATCTGTTTACAAGGTGAACCACATGAGAAATTGCAGCAACTTGTAGACGTTCACGAGAGGTAACTTCCAATGGCTTTTTCTTTGTAGCGGTGGCACCAAGCTGGGATAATGCACAAGGCTACCGATATGACAATTGGTAATGATAGTGCCACCGGGAACACCAACGGGCACTGCATCGCCCTGCTTGACACCATCGCAATCGATGAGCTCCAGGGATTTGCTGAAGCAAAGGCGAATCTCCGAAAGATAGCTGATGCCGTGTTTGCCATCGTACAGGCAATGGATGGATGGATTCTTGCCCAGTGCCTTGACTATCGCATTATAGATGGCTGCCACCGTGTTATTGGAATCGGGGTGGATGTCAGAGGCGTCTAAAATCCGCGACATGATATACTTCTCGCGCCAAGTGATTCCCTGCTCGAAGTACTTGAGTTCGCTGTCCAGTTCCTCCACCAGCATGGCGCAAGTTCCGTGCTTCTGCCACTCGTGTCTCCAAAGCCACTCCGTGGAGTCCATTCCCTTGAGATCTGGCCAAAAGGTCTCCAGTTGATCCTCAATCGGATGTAGTTTGTTTGGATCAAAGGTGGCCGAGTTATTGCAGAAACTGGGGCCGATTTGGTTCAGTTTTGTTGGCCAGATGCCGTGGATGGTCCAGAACTCCTTCTTTTGGGGCAGACTGCACTCCTGGTCGGGTTTATCCTCGCGCCAATGATAGCATGTGGTCACCGGCCATTGTTGCGTGAAAATCAGGACATCCCAGTTGTGATCTTCGACAGACATCTCCCGTGACGAATCCAGCAGGGATTCATCATCGTCCCGAAAGGGGAAACCATCGAATTCACTATAATCGTCTGGTCGTTTCTGTGCCTTCTCATCCACCGAAGTCGATTCATCCGAATCCGATATGTCGCTGCAATGGGAAACATGATGCCATTTGCTTAACTTATCTGCAGTCTTTGTTCATTGTTACAAAAAAATAAGATTACTGGGTCAACCTTGAACTTGATTATATATCCCGGATCACCAAGATATAAAGTTTTGTTGCTTTGTTGGTTGGCAAAATCCCAGAAACGATTCCAATAAAATCTCAGTTTCCAACGTTCGTACTCACCTAAGGGGCGTGCATTTGATGGTCGCCAGAAAACAGGCCAAAATGGCCACAAATAGAAACCGCTGGCTCCGCATTTTGTTGTAAAATAATAATAATAATAATTGCGATGCAAAAACCGTAGGTGGTATCGATATATCGATTTCTTATCTTTTCACGTATCGAAGAATCGACAGTACAGTTTGGTATTTTTAGTCGATTTCCTAATCGATTTTGAGAACTTTTAGCGCCTTAAGTTCAATTTGAAATAACAACAGAATTTATGATAAAAGATCTTGATAATTCTTAATAATTCTTTTCATAAAAATAAATTACCCTTATGTAAAAAAAAGTGTTTGTGTTTAAATTATAAATACAATATCATTGACAAAAGATATTGTTTAAAATTATTTCCAAGATTGCATAAATTGTAGAAATAATGTTTCCCAGTAGTACCAAGATTTAAATTTTATTAAAATGTGAATATTGATCATTAACTTTTAATATTTAGTAAATTCTTTTCAGGTGCACTTTCTAAGAACATGTTAGTCCTAGACATTTATTAACTTCTCCACCTATCAATAACCAAGCTGGTTAATAAGTAACGACAGAGTTATCGCTTGCCAAAAAATGAAACAATTATTTCAGCTGATTAGGATTTATCAAACACTTCGCCAGGTTGTCTGCTCTGGCTTTCCGTCGAGTCTGTGTCTTGAAAATCCCCTGGCCACCGATGATAAGACTCGAAATTGTGTGGTTCGCCTCTGTTTGTTGCTTTTAGTCATCCCACTTTAATTAGTGACAACGATAATTACACATTGCAATGCTGCTGTTGTCTTTTATCTTTTCTGGTGTTGACTTCTGTTGAAAACCCAATGACTAGAACTACAACAACGGTAGCAACAAATCAAATGACAACTTCGAATCGCTTAGCAACAACAAAATGATGGCAGCAATTGCTTAGCAATTGATTATTGCTTAACTGTACTTTGTACTTTTGATGATCCCACATATTATTTTTTGGATGGCCCCAATTTCGGGAGGTGCTGGTACATACGACATGTTGGGTAGTTGAGTGGCCAGCTGTCGGAATTCCGGACAAGTGGGGTAAAAATGTCACACTTAATGCCCCATAATTGTAAGGGATATGAATGGAACAACTAAGGTATAAGCAATCTGCGAAAAGTTAGCATAAGCTGTCGGATAACCATAGGATATTTAATAATAGGCTTATATATACGTAACATTAAATAACACTCTAGCGTGGCTGATTAAATACTGATTATAACTACCTTTGCTATCACCAAATTTCTATTTAAAGAAAATAGTAGGGAAATACAAAGAGTGATCTTAATTTCTATACAATTTAATTATTAGTTTTACAGGGTAAACCACTAGTTCATGACCTTCCAACGGTTCGAGCAGCATGGCCCATGTTTTATCTATTTATTAAATTCAATTAGTACGATTGCAAGCGATAAGACTCATTTACATGACGAACGCACTTCTAATCTATGGCCCCCATGCACTCACGATTTTCGTGGAGCGTATTCAAACAAATTCCCGCTGATGTCTGGGGATTTATCAACAACATTTGTGATTATTTTCGTGTCATGTTTTTGTAAGCCCAACGTTGGATAGCGAGCTTTTATGCAGATTTCTGTGTGTGGGGACTTTTGTTTGATGACAAATTAATTTAATAATAACAGCTGCAGAAACATTTCCTAATCAATTGCTGGGGCCCACAGAAACTTAACAATTATCCTCCATGTACAATCAATTAATGCTGTTGTTGTTCTTGTTGGTTTTTTAGATAGCGACCGTGCGCCTAATAAGATATGTCCTTCGAAAAATGGTTTTCCCTTTCATTTGAAATAACTTTCCTTTGGCTGGGTAATAAATTTTAAAAATGCACTCAATTCTTTACTTTTTGCTCGATTTTTGTATTCTATATAATCAACGCCATCATCATCATCATCATTGGGGGAATTCCCCTTAAGACATATTTTTTTGTTGGAGAAGCCATCTCTCTTTTTCTCTTTCCCTTTCTACTGTCTCCCTTTCTCGCTTACCCTTACTCCGTTCGTTTGGCGCCTGCGCAAGCGAGAAAGAGAGCTTCACTTTTGTGGGAGGAGTCTAGGCTCGGCTTTATATAGAGTTTTCCGGCTGGGGACTCCCGGTAATTGCTTCAATTTGGCGTACATATCCGAATCCGCTTTCCACCCTCCCTTTGCTTTTCGCTTTTCACTGCTCTTTTTCCGACTTCCTTCCCTGGTTGTTTTTGTGCAATTGCTGTGTAAATGGCATGAGAATGATAATTGTAGCAATTATAATATTAAATTGGGAGATCATGGCTCACAGCGTTTTCCCTCCCAATTTCCCCGACTTCTCTTCTCTCCTCTCCACTCCACTTCTCTCCTCACCTATCGACTCCTTTCCCCTTTTTTATGTAGCATACTTTTTTGCTGTCATCGCTGCTGCTTTTCCTTGTCCTCCCCCCAATTTCCTTGGGGGATTTTTTACTCTCGACTGCTGTGTATTCTACCGGATTTGTTTGTTAATTAGAATTCTAGCGTCGAAATTAAAATGCTCACTCCACTGGGGGCAGGAAAATGGCCTGGAAAATGGGGAAAAGGGAGAAAACTTCAACTAGTTTTTCGGGGCGTTGGCTGCCTGGCTGAATTTGCCACTGGAGTTTTTTATTTGTCTGCCTCTGCTCTTAATTACTGCAGTTTATTTTCTAAGTGCGACTAATTAACAGGCAATTCGCAGCATTGCGGCACATTTTACTCTTTTTCGCCAAAAGATTTCCACTTCCTGTGTGTGCCGGAGAGTGGTCAACATTTTGGGGCTAGTTAGTCGGTTGTGATAGCTCTGGACTTGAAAGTTTTCGAGGACACTCGCAAACTTTTCACATGTGTAGCTCGGTACTCGGAAGTTGGGTGAGTCCAATTAGTTGCAGTCATAAGTGGGGCAAAGACAGAACATTTTTCAGATTGCATGTCGTTTTGGGTGAGTTCGTATCTTAATTAGGGTTCAGAACTTACAGTTATTGAAAAATCTTTCATTTCTGAAACAGCTTATTTATTAGTTTTTATTATTAAATATTATTCAGATATATTAGGTCAGATGCAGTAAAACCATTTGTAATTCCTTGCTAAATCGAATCTTAGTACTGAATAAATATATATTTCACATTTATTATATATTTTACATTTCTCCAGGGACACTAATAAATCAAAGCTGTCTGCCAAATTTGTGGCGAGCTAAACTGGACATTGATTTGCCACCTCGGATCGTACAATTTTACCTTGGTCGTAACCCCGCCGATCCCCACCGTTAACTGTGCCACAAATTTACGTTATTAGTGCAGCATTAGACGCTCGGCTAATTATCAACACTGTCTGAGGCGCAAAAAGCCCGCTTAACCTCCACCTATCCGCCTATTCTGTAGTCCGCCATCAGCAACAGTCCACCACCATTTAGCATTGCCATTGGAATGGCGCCCATTTGTGCACCAACTCACTACTCGCAACCACTCCACCCACGGGCCATAAAACATGGCTCTCAAAACCACCCACCTCCGCCCACTCACGCACACACGTAGAGCACAACCCTCGCACGTTAATGAACGTAAAATTCACTTAATTCCAACTTTAGCCATGAATTAAGCACGACAAATGGACGCTAAGAGGATGGCCAAAGTGGGTGGCGCAAAGTAGTGGGTGGCATGGGGCATTATACCGAAGGGATCCCAGGGATAAATAATCAAAAAGACGTGCCACGAGACGTGGAAAAAGCCGTAGAGAGAGATGGAGAGCGGACACAGAGAGAGACAGGGAGAGAGTGAGAGAGGGAGACGGGAAGAATGAAGCGAGACAGAGTCGAACAATAAGTAAATGTGCTTTTATGGCTCTTAATTAAGGCAATGATGGGGTGTTTTAATACGTTTGCCAAATGTTAAGCGACAAACTGCCAGTCGAGTCGTCGTTATGGCCCCGGCTACCGATCTACTCACTCTCAACTACACAGGAAACAAAGGTTTTATAAAAAACTTATATATGTAAAGAGGAATGCCTTCTTTGATTGCCAATTTTAAGCTTATATACAAAAGAACACAGAGTTAATTAATTCGTTTTTGCAATGATTGAAAAATAATTATTTATGTTTCCATATTATTCATTTCAATTAGTTTTGGTTCAGTGTAAGCCCGCCTACCCACACACATGTGCGTTAATGAAGCTGCTACGAAAGCGGTTTGGAAGCATTTCCTTCCAGTTGTCCCTCGTCCTCGTCCTTTTCCTTTTTTTTATAATTTTCCAGCAAGGCCAGAGTCATTTTCTTTTGCCACTTCTGTAATTTGTGCCCCACACCACAGCATACTTCGACTAATTGCCGGACTGGTCCATAGATTTATGACGCGCAGTGTGCACTTGGCATGCCTAACGAGCAATTGCGTCGACACTTTTCGTCCACTTTGACATGTTCTCAAGGAAATCATCCCAAATTTTATGGTTGATCGAACAAATAGAAAATTTGGGCTCGAAGTAGATTTTATGCTTTGTAAATGTTAGTCTCGACAAGTTTATGGCTACATTCGAGCTGGGACAGCCAAAATGGTATCAATTTGTGGCTTTTTGTGATGAGCCTGTGTGCATATCGTAAAAATCAGTGTGGCACATAAAAATCCAAATGCGCCATTTGCCAGGCTGGCAAAATAACATTTTCAACACTTTTTGTTTGATTAATCAAATGTATGCGTTGCCTAGGGGCTGTCTGAAAGTCCTGTGCCTAGTATCTATTTTTCCTCGGCCCATTTTCTCCCCAACCCCTGACATTTAGTCCATATTAGTATGCCACGCACGTTCTGTAGGGCAAAAAAAAATGGACAAAAGCGGAAACAAAATAAAGGCAGCAAGGAAGCGGAAACGGAAGAGAGTCCAACAAAACAATCATCTAACAAAAAAATGGCGCAACCTTCGTTCTTTTTTATGATTTATTTATATATTCAAAGCAAATGCAATTGGGTTTATTACACATCAATAAGCCCCAACGACCACCAAAGCAAAAATTTGCGGTGCGTGTTTCGGGCGGTTTAGAAAAAATGGCCGATGAATTGATTTACATGCAATATAGTATAAATATCCATGACAGCCACAAACGTGATCAAATTATGGA